TAATTCTTGATTTTTTAATTAATTTCGAAATTGCATTTTCAATACAGCTGGGAAATAATTTTAATATTGGATTACAATCTTTTTTAATATATATATGGTCCATACCAATTAAGATGGCTTGATCAAGAGGATGATTTAAGGTTTCAAACAATTCTCTATGGGATCAACTTTTTGGACAAGCCTATTTTTATGATGATTATTTATTCGATTTTTTTGTTTCGAAGAAAAATAATATTAATTTATGAATTTTGTAGATTATAGATATAGATTTAACTTATGTTAAGAAGCAATCTGAAGAATAAAACACTACAGCATTACAGAATTCATTTAAATAATTGAAATAATAATTTAATCTTTGAACTTAATTAATATTAATTAAATTATATTTACAATTATTGGATAGCAATTGATATGCTTTGAATTATTTCTTTTTAGGAGAAACGTCTTGTGTTGAATAATAATAAATAAGGATTTATACAATTGCGTAAGTTTGCTTTTGATGAAGGTCATGGTTTTCAAGTAAAATATGATTATGATTTCTCAAATCTTCAACGAAACATAGATCGAATTATGGAGAACAAGTAAAATTTTAGATCTTCTAATTATTATAAAGATTTTCCATTCATTAAAAATATCAAAGAAGATTATCTGATTTTCATTAAAACCCTTAGCTAAAACTTTGTTTTAAGATTTGTATCTCATATTTCCAATAGAAGGAATACTAGGATTTAGGTTAGAAATGATGAACAAAAGAATGAATCAATAAAAAGGATATTGAGCAAAGAATGAAAAAAATATCCATCTTTGTTGAATAGTATTTTTTATATTTTATATTAAACACAAATAATTTTTTAAAGATTTGAGATTTAACCAATCAGCTATTTATAATATTAAATGAACTAAATTAATATCTCTGGTTTAGTTTATTGATCAATTACATAGTAAAGTGATAAATAAAATAAGTACAGATAAAATAGAATTCATTTGAGGATTAGAGGAATGAAATTTTTTTAATTCCTAACAGTAATTAAGATAGGTTGAGACGTATTTAATTTTTAAATAAAAAGCCAAGAACATATAAAAAGAATGTGTAAACAAGTTCTCTCTGCTCTTTGTTAGGAAAAACTTGAAAAGATTTCTTAAACTTCAAGTAAGATATTTAATAATTACAACAAAAAATAATAATTAATACTTCTTTTTGTAATTTGACTTATAAAATAATTTTGAATGGCTAGGTAGTCAGAGTGGTATATAAATGGTTGTTGATTTAGTAATTTCATTTGATTTATCTTAACATATTCAACTTTTAGAAAATAACATAAACTATAAAAATCATTTTAACCCATTATCGGAATAATATATCTTTATTTTTCCATCTTCTCTTTATTTAGAAAAGTATTTAATTAATTATAATTTTCTTACATAAAATATTATAAGTTGTTGCTATAGGAATCAAGTTATTAGGGTAGCTTTATAGAGATAAAACTAAGATATAGTAAGCTGACATTAGATATTAAAAATTGAGAATTCTTAATTCTTAGGGTTGGGAAAATCGTATCTAAATCTTGTTAATTAATTACAAAATTATATGATAATTTAAGAATTCTAAAATCAAAGCAAATGTTATTAAACAAGTTTTTTATTTCTCTATCAAAAATGTAAGAAAATTCTTCAAAAAATATTCACAATAAATTCACATTATAAAAGTTAATTATTTATGTTTATATATAAATTTATATTATTTTACTAAAATTTCAATTAATGTATTTAGTGTCTCCTATTTTTTTATTCTCTTTTACATACATTTTTACCCAGTTACCTGCCTTTTCACCTTTCATATTATATTCTCCATTATTATAAGTAATTTAAATTATATTACCGATCCATTTATATCCACTCTCCAATCTTTTTCTAATTTCCTTTTAAATCATATAATCCACAACCACTATATATTCCTCTTTACGTAATATTTACATTTCTTTATATTCCTTTTCTTTGCCTTTGCAATTCATGATATCCCATCTACCTATTTTCAGACCATTCATATTATATTCACCCTTATGAGTGACTTATTTACACTTATAAAATCCTTCATCCATCTCAATCCATTTGCCTGTCTTTTTGTCTTAATTCTTGTAAAATCCACCGCCTCTAAATAATTATTTCTATAAATACATCGACTCATTATTATTGAAATATTTCCATTTTCCTATCCTAAAACCATTCAAATATTCTCCTAATTCATAAATCTGCGCCTTACTATGTGTAACAATAATTATAGTACAGCCAAAAGTTTTCAAGTAGATCTTTCCATAATCATTACTTTTACCCTTCTTTATAGTATCCGCCAACATTGTTTAGAAGTTACCCATTCCAAAAAGCAAACCATTTACAATCTGTCTTTTTATTTTTGCCATACTATCCTCTCCATTAAAGCTTGTGGATTTGATCCATATTATTAAACAATTCTGGTTTCTCAAAGTAATCATGGCCTTATACATTTTGTTTTAATTTATAAATAAAATTACACTCTCAAAATAACTCCTTTTTAAGAATAAAAGATTTATTAATCTGAGGTGAATTTGATTTGAATTTTTACATTTTAAATCCTGGCTTTAAATTTGTTATAACTGCCAACTTCTTTTTCAATAATAAATTCCTCTAGATTAGCTGATTATGTGCCATTCAAAGTGTTCTCACTAGAATAATTAATTTACAAATTTTTATTTTATTTCTTTTACTTAATTAATGCTTAAATTTCAAATATATAAAATAAGTAAATAATCAATTTGAAGTGAATCTTTTTCGCACTTTCAAATCTTAAAATGAGTTATAAAAATGTTTGGACTTCGAAATTATAAACAATATATGTGATTCTAAACCATAAAAATAATGATAAGGTGTAATTTCATCTATCTTAAAAACATAGAAATTTAAGATTTGTTTGAAGAATTCATTAAAAATATAATTAACTCTAACAATTTAATCAAATCATCCTTTTATCCAATGTTTATTGGATTCTAGAGTAATCCTATTTTAATCTTATTTTTAAGGGTCATCCTTAAGGATAACGATGATAATTAAGAACTAATGAGTTTAAGAGAATCTATATATCTCTTTATAAAACAAATTTCTTAAAATAACTTTCTATATCACAGTAGAAGGCAACACACACACTAGGTTATGTCAATCATCACCACAGATTGAGAAAGTGATGAAATCCGGCCAGACAGAAAATTAATATGTTAAATCTTGTATTTTCGATGACTGATGCAAATTAAAGGACCAAATAAGAGAAAATATAAATAGTAAGTGTCATAATAAGGGCAACCGTGAAAGATAAATTCATTATTTAATATGATCACTCATCTCTATTTTTATTAAATCCTCTCCTATTGTGGTTTAGCATAAAGCAGGAATGCTCTATCAATTTAAAGTTTTCTAATGGGATTTTCAATTTAATTCTATCCAATTAAAGCTAATATTCAATTTCTTTTTGAAATGATGTTCAGTATCTAAGTGTGTTAATATTTGCAGAATGTCTTGGGTTTCCTATATAATTGAAACATCTCCGGAGAGTGTCTTAAAAATATGCATTAGATTAGATAATTTACCAAAATCTCACCATCAAAATATTAAAAGAATGAAATTATAACTTTGACTAACTTTCAGCAATAATTAAAATAATGATTCCCAATTTCTTGAAATTAAAGTATATATATTCATAAGTATATTTGATATCTTAATAGCCTTTCTTAAGAAATTAATGTAAATAAATGAATCTATTTCAAATCAAAACAAAAAATCACATCTCAATTAAAATAGTATAAATAAAACCATATCTTAATAAAATGAAATCATATTAATTTTTTGATTTGCCTATTGAGGTTTAAACTCTAAGTTAAATTTGTATTGAAATGTATTTACAATGGCAAATACTAAAAATAACTAATAAGATTATAACTCATAATCTCTTAATTTTGTAGAAAACTCATTAAGGTTGCTTCCATTCAAATTATTAGTAATTTCAATAATTCAATATTAAAGCAATTTATTTTATTGAAATAATAATAATCAGATATTTCAAATTTAATTTACTTTTTTTTCATTAAATTACCAAAAAAGCAGTGAAAGTAAATTTATTCTCAAGGCAAAAATTTTGAAATCAAGCCTGAAATTTTAGATTTTTAATAAATCTCAACAGGAAATTTGCTTTAATTATAATATTATTTAATTTTCTAAGTTAATGTTTTATTCTCAAGCGATTCTTAATTACCAACCCCTTAGAAACAAATTAATGTATTCTCAATTTTTGTATTATCATAACTTTCAGAAGTTTAGATGAGCAACATTAATTGGATATTCCTAAGCATTGATACTAAAATAAATTTATATAACTAGAAAATATAAAAAATTCATCAAGTAAATAAGTATTTTTACCTTATAACTTCTTTCAGCAAGAATTGGCTATTACCATAAGTGGTAAATTCTTATAAAAAGAAATCAGATTACAAAAATATCTGCATAAAAATTTAACACTAATAATCAATTTATCATTTTTTTAAAGTAAGAACTGGGATTTTCATATTAAGTTTGGTAAAGTGTAGAGACATCTATAATAAATCTCGATAAAAAATTATTATCTCGAATTTTTAATTAGAGCTAGCAGGATTTTGCATAGATGATATGTCTGAATTTTTGTCAAAATTTAATGCAGAAGAACATAATATTTAAATTATTATTTCTAAATTACATAAACTCAATTTTTAATGAATGCAATTAAGTATTTGGTTAATCAAAGCATGCAATCTTATTTTTATATGAGTTAAATTAGATGTTATTTTAATGAATTTAATGATTATGTCATTATTGGTTGTTTATCACAAGTAAATAAGGCATCTGATTATTTAAATTTTGGTGAAAATGGGTTTGAATAATTAAAAAAAATAAAATTTTTGTATTTTCAGATTGAATTATCAATATCGAATATGGCATTCATGAGAATTTGAATCGAATAAATTTATTCTTCTTAAATTGGGATAATTTGTAAATAAGAACAAAAAATAACAGGTATTTCCATGTTATAAGCGTTAAAAATTTCTTGCTTCATTCAATAATTTTTATTAAAATAAATAATTAACAAGGTCTTAAATAATTTTTACCCCGTTTTTGTCTAGTCAATAGGTAAGGATAATCATTAGAGATTTGGTTCTCTTGAATGTAACTCTTATATGGATTTGTTATACTCTTGAATAAGTATGAAGTTAAGAATTTAGCATAA